GGCCGTGCTGCTGCGACGCGGGAGGCACCGGCAGCACCCGGCAGCTACTGCAGGGATTTGACAATAGCTCTGAGGGCATGGGGCGTCTCTGGGACAGAGGGGGACGAGCTGTAGAAAGCGTCGGTGTGATTCTGGCGCTGTTCGCGGAGGTACGGAGGGACGGACGAGCTCTTGATGTGGAGAATCCTGGTGTCCATCACTTCGCAGTCGATCTGCATCATCACCTCGTAGTCCTGCCCGTTGATCACGTTCTCTGCCAATGGAAACGGCAGAGTGAGCCCTGCAGGCCTGTGCCTTGACCCAGCTGCACCAAAGAGCAAGGTTTTTGGGACACTTCACGGCTGGGCTGGCACGGGAGCCAGAGCCAAAGCTGGAAACGAAGCAGGAGCAGGGGAAGTCCCTTCTTTTTTGCGAGTACACATCTGTTTTACGCCATGCCATTTGCGGCCCCCAACCTGCTAGGGAGACTCAAAGGGCCCAGGCCACAGTTCACACCTGCAGTCACACTTTAATGTCTTATCTTTTCACTTCTTTAGCTGCACCTAATGGACATCATTACACATCTGCACACTGATGGAGTTTGCATTGCATCATGTTTACGTCTGAACTGTGGCTCAAGAGCTACTAAAACGTAGGGGGGTGATTAAAGCTTTTCTAAGAAGAAAGCTGTTTTTTTTTTTCCCCACTCTCTCTTTATTAGTTTAAGGATACTGTAATCCTCCTGATACTGAGGATCTAGAGGAATTTCTTCACTTTATTATTTAAAAAAAAAAAAAAAACAGGTTAAAATGTGATCCTTCCAAAGAAGTAACTGTGCCTCATTACCACGCGCCTCCGGCTGTGGTACTCGCCCTGCGCTGCGGCGTGCTCGTCACCCTGCGCGGCACAGCCTCACACCGCTAACCAGGAACACGCGGCCAAGCAGAGCACGATGGGCACGACCAAAAAACTCGAGTTGGGAAAAAAACGTTTGCGAGACAGACTTGAGGAGGAGATGGTGACAGTTTCCACTGTCTGACAGCCATCCTTGATCCCGAGGATTCCTCAAAAAGCATTTGCCTGGAGTCACTGCAGGGCAAATGCTGCAACCATTCGCCTCGGCAAATGCAGCAGAGCAACAGGACCGAGGGGCTACACTTGCTGGCAATGACCGTCTCCCCAGGAAAATCCGAGAGCGTGCGGAGGGGAAGGGAGAGCAGAGAGGCGAGCTGCAGGCTGAGCGCTGCCGCTGCCGCAGAGGCTCCTGGGCTTGCAGGCGGAAGCCGGGCAGCAGTGAAACTTGCCGTGCATGTGGCCAGCATCTGCTGCCTGGATTTAAAGGTGGGAGACTATTCCCTGCAAAGACAGTGTGTCCAGGAATGTGAGAGCTGAGATCAGATTTCCAGGCACGACCAGTCCTTGCTTTTCAGAGTTAGAAACGCTGATGGCCATCAGCAGGGTTTGCTTTCTGTGCTGAGAGGATGGAAGATCACCTAATGGAAAACGTATGGATTGGAGGAATGCAATATACATTACTAATTTTTACTGCTTTCCTGGATTAACTCTGATTCTGGATGACAGCTGACAACTGCGGCTGGGCCCTCTTGCGCCCCACGCCACCTGTAGAAGCCATTAGATCAACTATGTCTGGTATAGTAATGAAAAGCAGGAGCAAACCCTTGCTTAGGGGGCTGAGGGCCTGCAAGGGAAATCAAAGCTCCCACCTGCAGAAATGAAATGGAAAATGCTCTGAATGTGCCACTGAGCGACGGGGGCCAGGAGCAGCTGTGCCGGAGCTCAGGCTGCTGACCCAAGCACCCCGCTAACCCGGCTCTGGTGGGGCTGATAAATCCTGTCGTAGTTTCAGGTGCTGTCTCCCCAGTTTGAGCCCTTTCTGCTGTCTCTTTCTCTCTCTCTCCCCCCTTGGATTTGCTCTTGGTTCCCACAAGCCATGCTCAGGCCTGGTCTGCGCTTGGTGTTGACGGGTGGATGGTACTGCTGTGGTGCCAGCAACGCTCAAGCACCAAGACAGGGTAGACCTGGAGCAGGGGAAGCCTGTGAGGAGGAGGAATAAAGTGCTCAAGGCCCATGCAATGCTGGTGCTAGGACTAGCAGTGCTCGGCTCCAGAAAGACTGGGTGCTCCTGCTCCTCGCTGGAGCAGCCCGTGTGTCCCAGAGCCAGCGGTGCCCGCAGAGAGGGGAAGGAGAAGGTGGATCACAGCTGGGGCTGGCCAGAAAAAAAGGGGGGAGGGGGGGGGGCAGGAACCCTTCAGGCCATGGGCTGCAAGGGCAGCACTGCGTAAAGCCAAGGGGAGGGAAGAGCTTGGCTTTTGGGGTGGAGAGAGCAAACAGGAACAGAACGGCTCCATGTGACACAGAAAGCTGAAAATACAGCACCCCAGCTTTAATGCTGTAGAGATGAAGGCTTGAAAGGACCCTGGCTACGCAAGAAAATGCGCTCCAAAGCCACAAGTGGGTGAGGTGGGAGGGGATGGGGGCCAGGGCCAGGAAAATCCCTCTGTAAGCGCCCTCAGGCAGTAAGAATTTCCCAAGTTTGTCCACAGCGGCCAGCGCAGTGGGTTATCATTAGGTTCCCTGGCACCGCACAGCACAGAGAATAATAATAATAGCAGAAAGCAGAGTGTGTGAGCAAGGGAACTGTGCTCCGTGTGGGTGGCAGCGGAGAGCATGGGAATGCTTTCAGCTGCTCTCTTCCAGCCGCCGGCGGAAGCCAGCAGCCTGCGTCTCTCCCAGCTCGGACAGCGGCTCCCTCCGCGGCCACGGCTCAGCACGTTACAGCTCCGAAACGCTGCGGCCTGAGCTGCTGCCCTGGGCAAGAGGCGCTGTGTCTTCCGAGGCCACTACGGCTGAGAGAGCTGGGGTGAAACATGCTCCAAGCAGGCCAGCAGGCGCGGAGGGGGCTTACCCAACTGCCTTAGACGCCAGCTAAGTGATTGAATCCTACCCTGTGCGCGCACGCTGGCACAGGAGGGACAGTCAGGTTTAAAGTCAGCTTTCGGCTTCTTCCACCTTTTGGGTTAAAAGGCTTAAGGCTTTCTCAATGACGAATTGCTGCAGGGAACCTCTGCAAAGGGTCTCTGCTCACAGGAACAAGGAAGATAGATAGAGGGAAAGGCTCAGCTCCTATCCCAGGCATTTCCAGTGGTCGCTCTCATTACTACTAGTACCAAAATGACTTAGAAGAGGAGCTGAGATTCTCTGCAGAGACAGCAGTTACCCGGCAGTGATGCTGCTGGGCATGTGGCCTAGCTGTGCTCAAAGCAACACGTACAAAAGAGCAGGCTGAAAACTGTGCTAGTGTTAGTATCCCTCGCCACCGTTGGGGGTCTCGTGTCACCTCGGCATAGATGGTAGCGGGGCTGAGGCACTGCACCATGTGACGCTCTCAGCAAAACAACAGGCAAAGACGACCTTAACGCAGGCAACACAAGCCAATGTTTGGAAAGACTAGCTCACTGTCAAACGGGCAGGCATTTCAAAAATGATTCCACATGGCTCCATCCTGGGTTTGAGTCCAACTAATCGTTTCACGATCTGGATGAGGAATAGAGAGCATACTTATCAGATTTCTGGAAGATGCTGAACTGGAGAGATTTCAACCACTTTGGAGTACTGGATTAGACTATGGTTTTGATAAAAGAGAGAAATCATCCAAAATCATCAGGATACATTTCAATAAAGGCAACAGTGAAGTACAGACCCTCAGGAGAATCCAGGAACACAAGCACAAAATGGGGCTGGGCAGAAGCACTGCGGAAAAATCTTGAGGACTGGAGAGGATCACCGTGTGTGAGCCAACAGCATGACAGGGCCAGAAACCATCAGCTCAGTTTCAAGAAAAGCTGCTTTATCTTTGATGAACTTGCTAATGATAATGAACTATAAGGCCTGGACCAGGCTATCTTGGGAGACTAGAGAATCTCCATGACTGGCAGTTTCTAAGGACATCATCTGTTAGATATGACCCAGGTACACCTGATCCTAGCTCAGGCCAGGCAGCGGGACTCACAGTCACTCATGGTCCCTTCTGGCCCTGCATTCCTGTGTTTCTGGGGGCTGCAAGTGGCTGTTCATTACTGAAATACATTAGAGTATGCTTTAATCTAACATAACAGAGCCCAGATCCACAACAAAGCTAACATATGTCAGCTGAATTGCAGCGACTGTCTACTTGCTCTTTGTCCATGACAAAGACACGGCAACGCAATTTGCGACAAGCCCTTTCAGTGAGATTTGAACTGACATTTGCCACAAACTAAGACCCAACCATAGACCTCCCATAGTTCAGATAACAGCGAATAACCTGGTGTCCATGTTTCCTTGAGGATCAGTTTAAATCCAATGGCTACGTAGCTGGACATGTTCAGCAGAGGTTCAGCCACGCTTTTCCCATGCCTTGTCCGCAAGGGAGGGAATATCTGGAGCACAGTCCTCAGTTCTCATGCCAGAGGACCGCCTAGTCTGCCCTCATGCACAGAAGAGGCTAACAATTTTGCCTGATGATTCCTGCCTCCTGTTGATAACATGAGTTAGGAGAAGAGCAGATCTTTTAAAAATAACCAAAGTCTCCTGAGGACAGTCCTTTCCCGCCACTATCCTTTCTGTGGACAAGTCAAGTGAACGCAACAAAGCTCTATAAAGCCTTGCTGTGACGGCATGAGCTGTCACTGGGAGGCAAATCTAAAGTAGCTTGCTCTCCCCACAGGCTGCTGGAGTAGGAGAGGGCTTGGGCTGAAATAACCAGACTTCTTCTTCCCTGGGAAAGAGGCAGGGTAAAGTCAGCGGCACTGCTGATGGCGTGCCAACTGCTAAGGAGAGAAGAGGTAGGCATCCTGAGAGGAAGGCCCTGAGTTGGGCTATAAGCTGTGGTCGCTCTCCCTAGGAGACTGATTTCCCAGAGACGTGAGAGGACACAGGGAAACTGGTCTAAAATGCCTCGAAGAGAGAGGATCCTCAACAAAATCCAGATGAAGCCCTTTTCACAGCTCTCCACATCCTCCAGCCTTCTTTCTTTCCCGTTCTTGTGGGGCAGTCTGGCAGTAGCGACAGCTTGGAGACACCAGTGCAGCATGAGGTGGGTTTTTGAGAGAGGTATTGAATAGTGGTGGTCTCTGCAGCTGCCTATGACTGTTCTTTGGGGCTATTCGTAGCAGTTTGGTGTATTTAACCCAATATTTTATCTCAACACTTAGGTCAGCCGTGTACTGTACTGTCTGAAGAGGTACCCACCAAACCTCACAGCCTTGTGCAGGG